CGGAAGCTGGCAGGGGGGCCTGGTATCCTGGTGGTGGTGGTGGTTGTGTGCTATCTATTCAGTTCTGATTTTATAAAACAAAACAAAAAACCCCATTGCCCTTGAGTCAGTCCTGGCCTGCAGTGACCCTGGGACAGAGTAGAATTGCCCCATGGAATTGCAAAGGTTCTGTTTCGTTATAGAAGCAGATTATTTAGTCTTTTGCCTGTGCAGAAGCTGGTGGAGGCCAACTATTGACCTTCTGGTTTGCGTACTAATGCTTAAACCACTGTGCACCACGGGCTCTTCCATGCCCTTTCTCTCTCCTGACCACTGAGCTGGAACCAGCTCCTAGCTGACCCTCAGCAGCTTTCTGAGAGGCTGTAAATCACAGGGGAGGAGATTGCCCATTTTTTTCACCTGAGGAGCTGCTGGTGCATTTGAACCAGCCGAGAGGGGCCTTTGGGTTGGCAGCCTGTTGAGCCCGTGTGGTGGCCGACACCAGTGCTTGCTTCCAGAGCTTTGCATAGTGCTGCAGGCGGACGGGGGGGGGGCAGCAATCTGACCAGCGCTTGTTTCTTCATGGACAAGAAATGGAATGAATGCCTGTGGAGGTACTTTGATGAGGACACACTTTGTACACATCCCCGCAGTAACACATGGGGTTCGGGGCTTCTCTCAGGAGCCTCACCAGGTGCTCCCTGAATGCTTTAGGCTCGTAAGTAGCATCTGGCAGACGTGTGGCTTCCTAGACCATTTCAAGCCTTTCCTCTCCCCTCCAGTACTTGGCAATTTCTGCCCAGCAAGTCGGCTGTGACCGAGTCCAGGAGCTTTGTCACGGGGACGAGGCTGCCACAGCTGCTCTGCACATCTGCAGCAAGGCTTCCTGCATCTAAATAGCATTAACGCCACACACCTTTTCTTATTTTCTTTAACTTTCTCTTCATTTCTTCTTTCACTGGCTTAGGTGGCCATCAGCCAAATTGCCGGAACAGCACTTTTTTGAAGCATGTGTGTTTAAGCTGTACCGCACCAACCTGGCAGTAGGGTATCCATTATGGTCTCAGTGGGAAGCACCTTCGTGCTTTCGGAGGTGGTCCTCCTGTACCCCAGAAACGCCTACAATCCCAGCACATCTCGCAGTGTCTTTCATATCACTATGGCTAACTGTTAATAATCACTTGGTGAGGCCAGGCGGGACCTTTGGCCAGAGCACCGCTTACCCACACCCTGAATTACCCACCCATGGCCAGCTTCTCACTAGGCTGGTTGTGGGTCAAAACAACTGTGATGGTTTTTTAAAAAAACGAAACAAAACAATCTGAACTGAACTAAGAAATGTATGGCTGTGAGCAAGTCTTTTTCAAGGGCTGTGGGAGCCTGACTTTATTACTTGTGTAAGAGGTGAGATAAAGGAACCGTTCTATAGAATTTGAGTTTTCTTCAAAATGAATTTGCAATTAATTTTCCTTAAATAATTGTTGTTGTTGTTGTTGTTGTTGTTGTTGTTAGAAGCCATCAAGTCGAGCATGACTGATAGTGATCCTGTGAACAAAAGATCTGAACCCTGTTCTGTCTTGTGCCATCCTCACACTTCCTGACACACAAGAGTCCATCGCAACAGTCACCTTGTCAGTCCACCTCGTTGAGGGTCTTCCTCTCCTTTGCCAACTCTCCACCCTTCCCAGCATCATGTCCCTCTCCAACGAATAGCTCCTGCCTAGCAACATGTACAAAGTGAATGAGGCAAAGCCTCATCGTTCTTGCCTCCAAAAAGCATTCTGGCTGTACCTTTTCCAAGGCCATCCATGAAAATGTTCAGTGCTCTTCTCCAGCACCACAGCTCAAAGGCATCAATTCTTTTCCTGTCATGCTTACTTGTTGTCCAGCTCTCAGATGCATAGCAAGTGATTGGAAAAACTATGGCCTGAATTAGATGCACCTTAGTCTTCAAACTGACATCACTACTCCTCAATAATTTGGAGAGGTCCCTAACTGCAGATTTTCCCAGTGTAATGTGTCTCCTTATTTCCTTACTGCTGGGAGGGTCATAAACCATGACATCCCTTGTTGCGTTATCTGAACACTAAAAGAAAACTCTTGGGTTGCAAACTCATAGAAAACCAATACGTGGAGAATACCAGCTGGAGGACCTTAAGTAGACCTGGGGTGGAAATAAGATCCGCAAGAGCAACACAAGCAGGTGTTTGACGTCCGCCCCTTTAGTTACAGGAGTAAACAGCCCGGGTTACTGTGAGGATTTCCCAGGTGTGGGGTGGGGATAAGCACTTCACTGTTAAGACCCAAGGAAGGACAGGAACTGCCTTTACCTCACTCCATCCTGCATTTGGAGGGATAGCACCTATCTGCCCACCTAGGCTTGGCTGTGTGCACGTGGCGTTCTTGCTGGATGGCAAACCCTTCTCCACTGCATACACCACTTAGAATAGTTTTGTAGAGATGGCTATCCGTGGTGGTTACCCCTCTGTAGTGCATACGGCCACTTAGAAGGCTGTTGTGGAGACGGCCATCTGTGGTGTTTACCCCTCTGCACTGCATAGAGTCTTTTAGAAGGCTCTTGTGGAGACGGCCATCCATGGTGGTTACCCCTCTGCACTGCATACGGCCACTTAGAAGGCTGTTGTGAAGACGGCCATCCGTGGCGTTTACCCCTCTGCACTGCATATGGCCACTTAGAAGGCTGTTGTGGAGACGGCCGTCCGTGGGTGTTTGCCCCTCTCCTCTGCGTACAGCCACTTAGAAGGCTGTGGTGGAGTCGGCCATCCGTGGGTGTCTGCCACGGTTGCATCCATAATGACTTGGTTTTCCTTTTTTTCCTGGAACTTGTGTTCTGCCAGTAGAGGATCCTACTTTAATCACAGAATGTTGACAGAACGGCATGAGGCTTGTTTACTCTTTGGGTCTCACCGTTCCTAATTAGTATGTTCCACTGCCTTTTAAAGAAAGTAAAAGTTTGTTTTCCTCTTCCCACCAGACGGGGAGACACAGAATTATGTCTTGCACGTAGTCATATTTTGTATTACTTGTGGTGAAATACAACTGGTTCCCACATAATAGAAAAACAAAACAAAACAAAGCAAAGCCTTGTTTACAATCTATCGAGATGCCATATAGCCTCTTCCTGTCCTGTGCTAAGAGCCAGTTCATAAAATTAAGCCTAGGGTCTTGCCACAGCATTTTCTAAATCATGGTTGTATGGTCTAAATTTGTAAACTACACACACAACTTATTAGAAGCTTCAAAAGACTGAATTAGTATCTGTCTCCCTGCTTATAGTTCCTCAAAACCCCAAACCTCACTTTACTTTGTGTGTGTGTGTGTGTGTGTGTGTGTGTGTGTGTGTGCGTGTACCGTCAAATCAGATCTGACTGGTACAGGAGGAGATTGCGCCTCCTTCTCCGGCAGAGTTAGGTCTTTGATTTCTGTGTGGTTTCTCTCAAACCCAGAAATTTTGATGAAATACTTTTAAGGACAAATCAAAACATAACCAGAACAGCCATCATCTTGCCAGGCACTCACATGGCTTGCCTGTGACCCATTATGACTGAGGGCTTCTTCCTCGAAGCCACAGGAAGACTCTGATGCGAGGAGAGGCCCCAGGGCCTATGCGTTCTTCATTTCCAGCTTCCCAGCCCTCTTAATTGCCCAGGGCCATTTGCTGCCATTTCAACACAGACCAAAACCATGTGACTATTTTATACCTGTGTGCCATAGTAAAAGGAAAGATACTCATACATTTGTCAGTGAACAAAAAGTTCAATTGGTATCTTTTTGCCTTGAGCCGTGGAAGAAGGAAGAGTCAGGAACAGGAGGAAGAAATGGAATGTGGGCTAATGGCTTCTCTGAGACCAGAGGAACTAGATGGTGCCTGACTACCATGAGACCAGAGGAACTAGATGGTGCCTGACTGCCGTGAGACCAGAGAACTAGATGGTGCCTGCCAGTCATGAGACCAGAAGAATTAGGATGCCAGCTACCGTTATTGAATGTTCTTATCAAATACTCTGTAAAAGAATTCTGCTTAAAGGGGATGGAGAGGGTCCCACAAATTCAAAATCGTCATGTGCTCTCAGACTTTCTGGAGCCATTAAAGTTGGATGAACCCCTGAAATTATTTTCCTGACATAATCTTTAGACATTTAAGCTGAGACAAGAAATATCCTTCAATAATTTCTTTAAAACCAAACAACGATTTAGCTTATCTAGTGAAGAATATCTCCCTTAAGTATTGTGCTTTCTTTAAGACCTCTGCACTCTACATGTTCAACCACAGTTGATAGGGATGATAGAAAGAGAATTGATGCCTTTGAGCTGTGGTGCTGGAAAAGAGTATTGAGTGGACCATGGACTGCTAAGGAAACAAACAGATTCATCCTGGAGAGGGTTAAACCAGGCTGCTCTTTGGAAGCAAGGATTCTGAGGCTTTGTCTGACATACTTTGGACACGTTGCAAGGAGGGACCAGTCCTTGGAGAGAGACGTCATGCTTGGGAGGGTGGAGGGACAGCGCAGGAGGGGAAGACCCTCTATAAGGTGGATTGATTCAGTGACTGGGATAATCGGGTTGGGGATGTCAGAGACAGTGAGATTGGCACAGGACAGTGCAGGGTTTAGGGCTGTTGTGCATAGGGTCATTATGAGTCACAGGCGACTTGACGGCACATAACAACAACAACTCTACATGAGATCAAATTGACAACAACAACTCAAAATATTAAATAAGAAACTTGTGAGTGAGCTTATATTAAGAAGAGAGGATCAACTCAGAAGGGTAAAAATAGTTACACAACTCAAAAAACAATATCACAAAAATTGAGCATGTAGCGATTGTTTAACGGGTTCTACTGTGTATATTACTAAGAATTTAATAACAAAAATAAATTATTTAAAACATTGTCAAACTGACTATGTGACCGGTGTAATAGTCAAATAATATGACTTCTTTGATAAGGAAAGTAAAACGGTGTCCCTGTGTACTAATAACCACAAATGTCATTTCAGGGCCCACAACCTGTCGCCTACAGATCACCAAGCGGCTTTCTACCTAGCTCTGCAGCTCGCCATCTCCAGACAGGTGAGCCCCCTCCTCTCATGTCCCTTTACCTGGGCCCATTCTCATCTATCTCAGTGCAGTTCTCCGAGCAATTCAACTTGAGGTGGCCTGTTGATCTTCCTTCATTCACCAGCTCCTCCATGAAGACCCTTGGGGTTTCAGCCCATTGAGTGTCTGTCCGCTGTGAGGTCCCTGGCTGTTTTAGAAGTTATGTAGACAAGTTAGGGTCCAGTCAGTGGGTGGATGGCAGGGTGGGGATCTAGTTGTTGATTGGAGTCCAGTTGTCACAGGATATTAGTGAACCAATAGGAAGAGATCAGTAAGCATAAACCCAAAGGAAAACCAAATTCTGTTCAAATATACAGACTGTAAACATAATTACACTGTTTGAAAGAAAGAGACCCAAGAGTATTCTCTTTGCTGGAGGGACAAGCTTTCCTGACTACAGCTTCCCTCAGAGACAGCTTCCAGAGGTGGCCATTGCCATCCTCCGCCCCTCCCGTCCCTCCCAGTTGTTCTGGAAGCTCTGGCCACATGCCTGCCTGCCCACCAGGTGCAAGAACTGGTGGGAACCCTGGCACATTCCTGAGCGCTGCCTGGGAGGGTGATTCAAAGGGCAGCACCCGGACACACCATTCCTCTGGCAGCCGCAGGCTTTGCGTCTGCTTCTGACTTCCTGGTGGCCTGGGAAGGGTGGCCTGGGACAGAGGAAACCCAGACACTTCCTCTGCAGAAGTCCCTCACCTGGCAGGTGTCGCTCCAGCAGCAGTTTTAAACACATCCGGCGCTGTTGCTCGAGGAGATGTGGAATACTTCAAACACCTGCTCTCAGCCCTCCACCTGGAACTCCCGTCCTCCACGAAGCTTCCTTCCCAGAGCAGCCTGGGCCTCTGCCTCTTGCTCAGCTTTCTGGATCTACGTCTGTCTGTCTCACTACCCCTCTGCTGCCTTAGCAGAGAGCAGGAACCCACAGCTGGTGGCATCAGAGCTCTGCCCTGGGCTGGCATGGTAGACAATCGGTAATATTTACCGAAAGAACAGGGAGCTCGGACTTCCTTCCCCTCAGCTGTCCCTTAAGGATAGGATTTTGAAGCCTGTGCCATCTTGACCCTGGTTTTTCTGGTCGTCTCTGTAACACCATGAGCACACTCTGCCCTTTGCCCTCCCCCACACACACACTGTATCAGTTGAAAGCTGGGTACATGTGACTGTCACCCAAGGGGACAGGGCAAAGGAAAGGAACCTTGTGGATGCAGCAACTCTGGGGGCATACAGCATCAGGACTCAGCCCTCCATAGCTATTCCCTGCTGGCCAGAGGGGACAGGGTAGGTTTGTGGCCTCTAACTCTTTAGGACCTGTGCCATTTGCCTGGAGGAGAAGAAGAGAGAATTTGAGAACATGTAAATTCATTCTTGTCTCTGTCACTCAATAGCTTCCTCAAGAAATTGCACCCCTGAAGCCCAGCTTCCTCCGTGTCCGTGAAGGGTCAAGCTGGATGACCATGGTGGCTGTCATCATTCTATGGTTCAGAAGCAGAAGGCCTCCATAAGTCAGCCCCCATAACCTAAAGCCATCAGACACGAAAGTTCCCAGAGAAAAACTGATGAGTGTAGGGAATCTGAAGTCAGAGTTGCATGCTGACAAGTGGGGTTACAGAAGGTTCTGGACAAAGCAGCAGAGCCAAGAAGATGGCCCAGCTCGGGAGAAAAGAGGCAGGCAGGAGTCCCTGGGATGAGGAAGCCAGAATGCTTCCACCCCAAACTATTAGAAATCCAGCTTCCAATTCTACTGCTCCTCAGTGAGAACTGTTAGACCTGCATGAAATTTAGGGTGTTTAAATATCCGTTATGTATGCATTGTATCAACACTCGGGCCTGAGTGGTTTGGAAGAAGCCATACTGGACAGTTGTTGGTTGTTGGGTTTGTGTATGGACTCTCTTGAACTGAGTCTGTTTGCTTTGCACGTAGCTTATTTCTCAGGTTAGTTATGGGGGATTGAACTTGGGAAGCATGTGAGGGATTCATTTGAGGTTTTTTGCATATTGCCTTAATATCTGTGGAAATTCAGGACAAACGATCTTAGAAAGAACCACAGGCGACAGGCCATTTGGAAAACTCTGTTAAAGATTCTGTAACTTGTTAAGTGCTTTAATTTCACAGTAATCCTCACAAAAATGAGAACGTTCAGGGAAGGCAGTTTAATTCCACTGAAAACCACTGGCAATTTTTATTTGCCTCCATTTAGAGTGAAGTCGTCTCGGGCCTAATCAAAAGCCAATCCATTTGCTAGAAAATGAGAAAATGCTTATTTAGGAAGAAAGAAAAGATCCCAGCACTAACCTATTTGCAGGGAAAGAGAGTCTCTTATATGAACTCATCGGCCAGGCAGCCTTTTGGAGAGGCCCACCGTGTTCATGTTGTGATTGGTGTCCTGGGACAATCGGAAGCACAGCTTAACCTTTGAGGCAACACAGAATGGATCAGTTCTTGATTCTTCTATTATTAGTATAATTTTGTGTGTACCGTCAAATCAGATCTGACTGGTACAGGAGATTACTCCCCTCCTTCTCCAGCAGAGCATCTGGTTAATTCAAACTGTGAACCTCTGGGATTGCAGTGCAGCTTCTTGCCACTTGGCCACCAGAGCGCCCTATCAGTTCTTGATATTTACAAAGAATCAGACCTTGAAATGGTGGTGTGTGTGTGTGTGTGTGTGTGTGTGTGTGTGGTGGGGGAGTGTCCATCCCACCTCTTCTTACTGGGTTTGTTTTGCACCAGATTCCAGAGGCTCTGGGCTATGTCCGCCAAGCCCTTCAACTTCAGGGTGACGATGCCAACTCCCTGCACCTCCTCGCCCTCCTCCTTTCAGCTCAGAAGCATCACCACGATGCCCTGAACATCATTGACATGGCCCTCAGCGAGTACCCAGAGAACTTCATGTAAGTGGGTTGGCTTTCTCTTGCTTAGAAGCCATTGAATTTACTTCTCCCCTCTACCTCTCTAGAATTTAAGCCCTTTGCGGCCATCTCTGGCCATAAACAGCACAAAAATCTCTCCAGTCATGTCTCTTCCTGATATATAGAGACAGGACTTAGAGTCTGTTTGGTATCTCTAACCTGAAATAATCTTTAAAGATTTAACCTGAAACAAGAAGTATCCTTCAATAGTTTCTTTTAAACTGATATTAAAATCCTGTTGCCATCTAGTTCATTCTGAGTCCTGGCAAACCCACGTGTTGGAGAGCAAACTGCTTCTTACATTTTTTTCTCTTGACTGTCCTTGTTCATGAAAGTTACTCACCACACCTTTCTTCGGTGGTGCCCTGGGTGCATTCACACAGCCAACACTCAGGAGTGGTTGACCAGCCATGCCCACTGACGGCCTGACACAGTCGTGTGCTCACTCATTGTTGTCAAGTCCAAACCAGCTCCTGGCTGCCTCTGTATTGGGTTTCCAGGGCTATAAACCTCACAGGAGGATATTGCACATCTTTGTCCCATAGAACCACTGGTGGATTCGAACCACCAGAGAGGGGTGGTTGGGAGCGCCACCAGAGTCCCCAGCACGGTGTTAGATCATCTGTACACAGCCTTATCCACTTGGAAATCTCTATCCCTTCTTTCTCAGTGAGTATACAAGACAATTTTAGATGGATTGTGAGTGGACATTTTAATTTAATAGTTATACATTTATTTAAGGTCCATTGTGGGGGAAAACATAATGATATCAAAATATGGTTTTGTGGAAATTGTTGTTTGGGAAAAGACTAAGAGTTTTTAAAATGAGTTGTTTAAAAGTCAATCCAACATGCTAAGCACATAATATAGATAAACATGGATGTGGTAAAAGTCAGGCTGAATGAACTCCAGTGACTGAGATCGGAAACACGCTGCATAGACCTCGTTTGTCCTGCATTGTCGAGGGCTACCGTGTGCTGGGTGCCTCAGACACCTTTGAGGGAGACACTGCGATCTTTTGTACCTTAGTTTGATCCTCCAAGAAGTCGAATCCTTAAATAAATGTGTTAATGTTTGTATATGCTGTCAGGGTTGTCTTGCGTGCTGCCCTAGGCTTGAGCCATCTGTGTATGCTCAGTCCCTTCCTCTGAGTCACCCTGCACAGCACCTGCTGCTAAGTCTCAGTGGAGATGACCATTGTCTTCTGAGCTATTGGGTTACCATTTGATCCCCTGTGGCTGTAGCTTGGTAACGAGTACACAGCGACCAGGAGCAGTAGCCGCTCCATTGCATGTGTGAAGATGCAGATTCCTTGCATTGCAGAGTCACCAGTGCAGCCAGGGACAGGCGGTGTCTGGGGGACAGGAGCGGGGGTGGAAGGCAGGGGGTGGCCCAGGCTGTGGTCCTCCCTCTTATAACTAAGTGCAGTCTGCAGACTGTAAGTGGGTCAGCATTGGCTTTCTTTCTCTGCCTCCTCACCTCACTGTGTTTTAATGAGTGCATTTTAGCCGCTCTCCTTGGAAAATTGGCTCACACATTTCCATAACAAATATGTCTTTGTCTTCAAGTGAGAAGGGCCCTCTCTTCTCCCCGTCTTGAGAATTCTGGTTATGATTCAGGAAACCTCTGAAGAGAGACTTCTTTCGCACTTCAGCCGTTTAAGCTGAGCGAGTTAGAGGACTTGGCTTCCTTGTTGTTCTTCTCGCCAGTGCCTAACAAAGCTCTTTTGCACAGAGTGTGTCTCAGGATTTGATCCAGTGCCGTTTGCCTGTGACACCTTGAAGCGGCTAAAGCACTTTAAAATGTATTTAGTCCTTTACCCATTGGCAAAGCACCACTGGATGAAGCAGAATTCAGTTTCTCTCATCAATATTTATATGTGCTTTGCTCGTCACACACCTTCATTAAATAGTAGGGTCTTTTCCTTCCTGGCAGTAAGCCCTGCTTCTGTAGCCAGATGACACTGGGAGGAGGCTTATTAAACTAATAGCCATACCACACAGGAAGCGGGACACAGTGGTGGCTGATAGGGAAGACCTCCGAGTGACAGCAGCTGACAGTGCTTTCAAGAGGAGGCAGCAAGGAATAGCAGCGAGGATATTTGAGGCATGCAAGCTTGTTATTTTAATGTTAATCCAGAAGCTTGAAAAAGCAAAGCACATGGCAGCAGTCCGACAGCAGCCTCCTCCAATGACCTGTAGCTTTTTAAATATTTGTATTTCTTCCTTTGTGATAGGAAACATCTTCCTAAGATTACTTTGTGAAAAGTTGGGGCCAGATCTAGTCAATGAATCCTCTGGTGTCTTGTCAACATGCATAAACTATTGCATCATTGACTTAGTGGAGGTAATGGACTTTTGTCTTTATGGGAGATGTCCACATCTTTCTCCCGAGGAGTGGCTGGTGGATGAGAACCAATGACCTTTTGGTTACCAGTGGAGTTCTTTAACCACTTCTCTACCAGGATTCCTTCCAGTCTTTGAAAAAATATAGTTGCTAGTCTGGGAAATAAAGAAGAATCATTTCCTGGAATTTTATAATTCTACGTGAAAGAAGAGAAATAAGGAATGGTCTTTGGTAAAGGTAAGGGAAGAGTCAGATAAACCTAACTTAAAATTCTAACTCCTCCACTTTTGAGTTGTATGACCTTGAACAAGTCAATAGATCTCTCTGAGACTCATTCCTTCACATGTAAAATGGGAGTAAGAGGAGCTGCAATCCCAAAGGCACAGGGTTTGAATCCACCAGCTGCTCTGCAGGAGAAGGATAGGCGATCTCCCGTGCTGCTCACAGCCTCTGAATACCTCTGGAGGGTCACTTATGAGTCAGTTCCTACTTAACTGCACACAACAACAACAACATCGAATAGGGTGCTATGGGAGTTCTAGTGACCTAGCGGTAAGAAGTTACACAGCCAACCCCTGGGCGCATGGTTCAGGTCTCTAGCTACTCTGAGGAAGATGACAAGTCTCTTCTTGGACAGTTTACAGCCTCTGAAAACCTGTTGGAGGATCAGCTAAGAGTCAGCTCTGACTCAACGACACATAGCAACAGCAACAACAAAGTTGCTATGAGAATGGAGTAAGTGAATGTAAGTCGTGTATTTGTACATGGTAATCACACAGTAATTGGTACCCGCTGCCAGTGAGTTAGCTCCAACCCTTAGCCATGCTCCACCTGCTTTCCAAAGCTATAAATCTTTACATGAGGAGACTGCCATTATCCCTCAGGGGATTTGAACCACGGACCTTTTGGTTAGTAGAACAACAGGAAACACACTATGCCACCTAAGCAACTTCTAGAATTCAATAACAGGTACTCGTATGGCTATAGGTTTTCAAATACGATGATATTCTAGACTGCCTTGAAAGTGTTGTTATTAATTATTGACTCTAAAGACGATAGTTACAGAGAGGCTTTAGGTCTTTTGTTTATATAGGTTCACTATGAGTTGTGCTCGACTCGACAGCAATCAATGACAACAGTGCTAATACAGTGAACATATGTGGGTTCCCTTCTCGCTTAAGGAGAAGAACCTTAATATAGTTTGGGAAGTTCTTGTGTACCCCTCTTTCTTTTTCTCAAAGATTAACCACTGTCCTGAACTCTGTGTTGTTCCTTCTCTTGTGTTCCTGTATCATGTCTGTTACTCCTAAACAAACAAAAAGAACTTGTGCCTATTCAAAAATTTTAAATAATTCCAACTGCCCAGCTTATATCCTAGTAACTCTTTTCTTGCAAAGCTCAATGCTACTGTGATATATTCTTAGCAGCTCTTCACCCGTTTGATCTGGTGAATATCATCCTTTTTACAGATAATGGTCACACTTATACTGTTCCTTTTCGAACCACATAGCCTCCTCCCGTGCTATTTTCCTAAGTGTTCTGTTTGAGTTCTCTGCATTGATGTGTTATTTAAAAAACACAGTAGTATTGTATTGTCTGCTTATGTACACAGATTTCTTTTATCCAGTCTACTGTGAATGGGCTTGTGGATTCTTTTCAGGTGGAGCTGTCATGAAAAACTGTTGCCATAAACATTCTCCTGTATGTCTTCTGGTCCACATTGGCAAGCTTTTCTCCAGGGCCTCAACCAGGAGGAAGTCGTTGAATCATAGGATACATGTTATCTTCAACTTCTACCAGGCAGTTCCAGACAGTTTTTCAAAGCATTTGGGTTTGTTTCCACTCCTGTCTGCAAGTGTCTGTGACTCCACTTCCTTACCAGTGAAAAACTTGGCATTGTCAGACTATTTCTGACAGTGTGGTGGCTGGCTAGTGGGACCGACATGGGAGCTTAAGTTCCATTTATTGCCCTTCCTTCTGGTGAATGTGAATGTTGTTTCATTAGCTGGTATCTTTTAGAATTTGATACCTTTTAGATTCTCTTTCCTTTTAGCACCTACCAATTCTTCCCTCTAGCCCAAGTGGGGTGCCTTTTTTCTTACAAATATGCAAGATTACTTCAAAGAATATGGTTCCCTTTGTTAGTTATGTGTTCTAGAATTCTTCTTCCAACCCAGCTTGGTTTTGCTTTCTCTTAATAATTTGCTTTGATGAACAAAATTTATTAATTT